GTAATCCTGGGAATATCATTAACAAGGTAAGCCTCAAGCAGCTCTTGAAGATTTTAAATTGCAGAATAGTTGCTGATCTGAATTAGTACAGGGAGGGTTCCTACCAGGAATTCTAGGCCAGAATTAAATCAGAGGTATGGCCTTTTTCAAAAAAGGTGAAGTCCATTTCTAATATTATTCTAAATGAAAAACACATTTAATGAATTTTAAAGCATTTGCTAAATACTCAGTATGCACCAAGAACTATTCTAAGGTCTAAAGATACACTTATGAAAGACATACAGTCCCTGACATTAAGGAACTTATGAGCAATTATTTACTCTAAATCAGGGATTCTCAGTCGTGTGTGTGTGTGTGTGTGTGTGTGTGTGTGTGTGTGTGTGAGAGAGAGAGAGAGAGAGAGAGAGAGAGAGAGAGAGAGAGAGAGAGAGAGAGACAGAGAGACAGAGAAAGAGAGAGAGACACACAGAGAGAGAGAAGAGGAGAGGAGAGAGAGCTCTCTTTGAGAGTCTGATGAAGCCTATAGACCTCTTCTCAGAATAATGTTTGTAATCATAATTGAAGGAAATGGTTAAGTCTTAATTAGAGGTTAGAGAAAATAAAGATGTGATTATTTTTTTCCCATCCAAATTCACAGAACGCTTGAAGTCTATTCTTGGATGCCAGGTTAAGAATCTTATTCTCAGTAGAAAGATATAATCTATGCTTCTAGGATTGTAAGGTAAAGGGGATTCTGGAACTGTGATTTCACCGGCTTGGGTATTTCTCTTTGTGACAAATCTCTCCAACCATGAAGATTAAGAATTCATCTCTAACTTGAAGACTTGCCTGCAGACCAGAGGGGTTAATTTACTTATTTAAGTTTACATCATCTTATGTGACAGAGAGGCAAGACTCTTACTCATGTATTCCTTGTTCCTTTGGGTAAGGGAGTGTCTTACTACTGCGTTTGTATCCTTAGCTTTTAGCTCAGAGCCTGACACATAATAGGCCCTAAATAAATATCTGTTGATTGACTTCTAACTCCAAAGTCAGCCATGCTGCTTTACTTTAGCATTATTTAAAAATTTAAATAATGTTCTAATGAAGGCTTTCTTATATAGAATAGGTTCTAATTGGACCTGAGGTCCAACAAAGGAACTTATTACTCTTAGATCATATGATTATTTGGTCACTTACCACTTTGTCAGCTCCAACAAGCTTAGCTAAAATTCATGAAACATCTATTCAGCCAGATTTCTCAGTCTTGTAAATATAACTCCTTCCTGATTTCTTAAAAGTGTACTATGATATAGAGGGCAGGAAAGAGAGAGGTTAGACTATAAAATCCTAAGGTTGAAGGGACTTTAAGAATAAAAGCCTTATCCTTCCTAAAATAATACTATTTAACTTTCACCAGTTAGAAAAAAAAGAATCTATCCTAATTAAAGACTTATCAAGAAAGCAAGATAATAATATGACTTTCTGCACTGTTTATATTTCATTTATCAAGCTATACTTCATGTCTTATTAACCTAAATCCTCCACATTGCAGTTAAGACTCATTTCATTATGTTCCTTCTCTTTGGAGAGGAAGAATTCCTAATTATGAAAGTATCCATCTTAGTTCCAACCTGGTAATCATTTTATTGTCATTGGACTTTCTTCTGAGTCTGTTTTATTTTTTATTTGTGCGTGTGTGTGTGTGTGTGTGTGTGTATGTGTGTATGTGTGTGTGTTTTTGGGACAGCACTCTAAATGTCTATTATTCTAAGAGCCCTCAAAGCAGAATTCTCAGAAGACTTTGTAGAATGAGAATATTATCTTAAAGTTGCTTAGTGATATTATATTTATGACCCAATGAATTGTGCTTTTTTTTAAAATTCTACAGGGGTAATGCTAATCCATGATATCAGCTAATACCCCTACATATTTTTTTTTAATTTGTTGGCCTTTCCTGATACTCTGTGTGTGAGACTTATTTAATGGCTTCTGTTATACTGACCTGCATTCATTCTTATGGAAGTAGATACACTTAAACAACAACAACAACAAATTATTCATTTTACCAGTATCATCTACTCAAATTTCCCAAGGATTTCTTGTCTCTCCCTTCACCTGTAAACCCTTCCTTCCCTCATCTCCTACACATTCACTCATTTGTTCATTATTCATCATATATTCATTGAGCACCTGCAATATGTAAGGAACTATGCTAGATGCTGGAGTGAGGATAGAAAGAAGCCTAATAAATGAAGTTAGTAAATTCTCTATTCCATCAATCAAGCAACTACTATATATACATACATATATGTATGTACCTACATACATATATACATGCACTACTTCAATGATCTGTGATACTGTGATGTTCTCAATGTGATTACTCAAAGACAAAGAGCACTAAATTCCAATAGCAAAGAGTACATCAGGATACAATATATTTTCTACATTTAAGCACACGCAGAACTGCTCCTACCTAATTTGAGTTTCACTAGGAAAATTCAGATTATCCTACCCCCTTTGAACAACTAGGAAGTAACTCTGCAGCACCATTTTTCTGATAAGAATGTTAGAAATCAAATTCAAACCAAAGGGGGCATTGATTCACCTATTCAGGATTATCTTTAGGAAAAATAAAAACTAAAAGAAAAAAAACTTGTCACCATTTAATATTGCTTTTAACCATTTCCTTTTCCACTGTTTGGGGCATCTCTCTCTCTCTTTTCTTTAAAGTTTCATGGCCCTAACATTTTGTTAGGTAGGAAACTGATACTCTTGTAATGAAAACAGCCATGATTCCATCTCCCCCATCCCCAAATACCTTTGTATCTGGACTGACAAATAAGGAACCCAAGTGATTCACAGAAACAGGAGGCAGGGTCTCTTATTTAATCTCAATGCCCGTTGCCATGCGACCAAGGAACCGCTTGCTCTAGTCCCACTAACAGGAGAGTGCTTTCTGCTCCCTGACAGATACATGGGAATAAAAATGACGCAAGGCTTAAGTCTGAGAAGATATTGGCCACTTAGCTCCCTTCGCTTCCTCAACGCGAATTTGTCGGACGTGTTTTATACCTCCCGTTTTAGGTTCCCCGCCCGTGGGACCATAACCAACCCCGAGGACCCTGAACATTTGAAGAAGCTTAAGGACCCTAAAAGACCTCTGGATTCCTTCAGTCTCCTTGTTTACCATATAAGTCGCACTGGGCACTCCATTCTTCTTGTTTTCCGCCCTCAGCTGCCTCCCGCCCGCTTCTGAAAGTCAGTAAACTCCATTAGCCTGTGCAATGGGATGCTCAGCGATAGGGCAAGCAAAGAAGGGTGGAGGAGCACGGCTGACTTCTTCAAAGCTGCCCCAGAGAGCTGATTAATGAAATAGATCCATCCAGGGGTTAGAAGGCTGGAGGGAGGGGGAAGAGAAAGAAGGAGGAGCGGGGAGGGCGGCGAGGGCAGAGTCTCATTCCTTCCTAGACCGTAACCCCAGTGGATGGCTAGGGGGGCAGAGGGGACTTGCAGCCCACTGAGCTTCTGGAGAAAACTTCATTGTGATCCAGGAAGAGACTGCCAGGCGCTGCCTCTCCCCAGACTCCTCCTAGCTAGCGGTCAGAGAATGCACCTTTTACCTGGAAAGTTGCTATTTCCCGGTCAGTTCTCAGACGGAATCACATCCCCAGCTGTGCGATGTTGTCTGCAGCTGTGACTTGTGAAAGCACCCCCGACTTCGGCTGGGATTTCCTCAATCTCTGCTGAGTTTCTTTCTGAGTGTTCGGTTTTCCAAGGAAAACACATGAAGTCACAGCCCACGCAGTTGGCACTGAGCAGAGGGTAGTACAGCTTATCAGGCTGCAATGCCATGGGTGACAAGGGGAAAAAAAAGGAAGAGGGGAAGGAGTCCAAAAAGGGGGTGGGGGAAGTCGGCGACTTAAATACTGAGCGGGAAAGTCTCAGTTTGCAAGGCAAATGGGTTAGAAGGTTTCGTCTATCTTTGCACTTAGATGGGTGATTGACTGAGTGTCGTCACATCCCATACTTGGACTGGAAGGTTGGGAGAAAGCTGGGACCCTGCCCTGCCCACTGGATTGGCCATACCCCGAGTGGGCAGCCAAACAGCCGGAGCTGTTGCTGCTCCCACCGCTTGTCAATCATTATCACCTCTGGCTAATCCTGAAAAGGATCTCAATCAGCGAATTCAAGGCAATTTGACCAACAGGTATTGAGTGTCCGCTGTGTACTCAGAGCACCCCGCCGAGGCCAAGATGAGTTCATTTCCACGCCATTATGCAGAGCAGGACTGACTCCCGGGTTAACCTGAACCTGAATAAGGTAGCTGATTCAGAAATTTAGGGGGCAGCTATCAGGTTCATAGTCAGGTTCGCTGAGTCTCCACCCACCCAATGAACTGCCCTTCGCCAGGATAACGTGTTAGAAGCAGATTTCCAAAAAGAATCGGGTCCCCAGGGTCCTCAGAGCAAGGCAGATCAGCAACCCAGGCTTCTGAAGCCCCCTCCAAACCCCCAGCTTCTCCAGGTTTTCTAGCAAGCCCTCCCTTGTCCTCAAGGTGTCAGACTTCGCCAGCAGAAACCCTGGAGGATGCGTCTTTCCAGTGTCAACAATTTATGGGGTCGCGATGAATAAATTACAAACAGCCGCCCCTTTCTCTCCCCCTACCCCCACTCATCTTCCGCAAACCCTGTTTTTCCCTAAAACCGGTGCAAGAAAGAATTCTATTCCCCCGATTCGATATTTAAATCTCAAGGGATTGCCTGACTACCTCTGAAAGCAGGAATAGGATGGGTGTGTGTGTGTGTGTGTGTGTGTGTGTGTGTGTGTGTGTGTGTGTGTGTGTGGCATATGGGTGTGTATAGATAGATGTGAGTACATGCTGCATAGAGTGAGCTACCTAAATAAAAGTTATCCAATTCGCCTCGCTAGTCTCTTTTTATCTTCACGCACAGGCTCAGAATTAAAAGATCCGAATGAGAAAGAGAGCACAGCTTGCAAAGTTAGCAAGAACTTACTTGGCTTTAAAGGTGTCCTTTAGATGTCCATTGAGCCAGTCACTCGCAAAGCTTTTCGTTCCTCATTCTTGTCCCAGGAGAATCTTTTTGGAATTCTATTTGTCAGATGTGGAATTACAGACGGGATCTAGGTTCGCAATCACTCTCACCATCTCCCCTTTCCCGCCTCTACTTTAATTCCCTTAATTCCTTCCAAGTCCTAACCTTCTAAATATTCTTCACCACTTCCATCCAAGGAGACTTCTCCTTTGGCTTTGCGCTTGTGCAACAGATGACTGACCAATTATCCTCCCGTGGTCTTCCGTGACATGGTATTATTCCTTCTGGGAATCCCATCCCCTCTGTGAGAAGTACCAATCACTTCCTTTGAAATAGGCTCTGCTGGAATTAAGGTGGGGAGGCAAGAACTGAGCAGCCGTGCACCACCAAAATCCCTAGAGTTTGAGAATTCTCCTCCACATTATCTGTCTCCTTGCCTCGTACACTTGGGCTGGGAGTTTGGAGGTTTGTTTTGTCAGAACAGCGACTGTCGTTGAAGGGCATCTCCTAGAATGTGTCGCCTGCCGCATTTTTCTTTGGGTTTTCTTACTTGCTCTTCTTGCCCTCCCTAGATCGCATTACTAAACTGCTTTCCTGATGGGATTCCCCCCCCCCCCCATTTTCTGGCATGGTAAATTTCTAAGAGCGCCACCTTTAGGATGCTACTTCAAAAATTATGGACCGAAAAAGAAAAGTGGCTTCATTTTGAAGGGTTTTGAAAAAAGACTAGATTTTTTTTTTTCCTTTGGGGAGCGTTCTTCTCTTCTCTCCTTAAAATAAATAAAATAAATGATCAGTGATGTGCATCTAAAAATGACGTTCTATTTGTTGTTCTATTCAGAATTTCACTCTCCTTTCTAGAAATTATGTAGTAAAACATATAAAGTATATACAACATTCAATAAATTTAGTTCTATTTTCAGCATGAGAAGAAAAAAAACTATTAACGATATGATTGTTCAACATGTGGGAGAAAAGCAGTAAGTTTTATTTTTTTTTAATTTTCCTTTAAAAGGAGTGTTTTCCCATACTGTCCAATGTTACCTAATCAGTATACTTAATCTGAATTTAAAATTAATAAAGCATTAAGTGAAATAGCATAGAATGCAGCAATTAGCTACCTCAGATAAGTAGATGCCTGAACTTTTATCTTCCTTAAAAGTTAGGCTACTATATGGTCAGCAAAAGAAAATAAATTCTCATGTTAGATATTTTAAAGTTTCACTACCATATCAGAAAAATAATTCATTTTTGTTGAGGCTTTAATACTTAAATGAAAAGAATTCATTACAATTATTCTTCTTTCCTGATTCAGATGAGCCATCATATATTTGAAAGATTACATTGCCTATTTCTTTGATTTTTTAATAACTGGGAGAATAGATTCTTACAAAACATTCTTAAAAAATATTAAATGTTAAAGGAAAAAATCAAGAAAGTATTAGTAATTTCCAGTCTGAGAGCAGAGAACATACTTCAGTCCCTATAGAAAGAGGAATGCTGCATAGATTATTTTAGAAATATGTTCTGTGTTTATATGAGGTTATCTATTGTTGATTTCATATTGTATCCAATTAACAATGATAGTAAAACTTTGTGAATCTGTTGAAAGTACTAGCAAACACTATTATGTCAGTCATTGCAGACTGATAGAGGAAGCAGTTTTACAATTGAAGGATAGAAAGTTTCAAATTAAAATATGCCCCTGAGAGCAAAGATGTACAGTATAAAATCTTGAAATGGGTGAAATGAGCATCATTTCACAAACTGGTAGGCTAGTTTCAAATGTGGCTTCAAAATGCACTTAAAATAAAATATTGCCATCCTGACTTAGCATTTTTCTAGTCCCTCCTTACAAAGAGATGATAAAGCTGGTTTTTGAAATAATGAAGACATAGGTGAAATGAAGCTCTAATTTAATAGAAATAAAGTAATTCTCCCAGAATACCTACCTATCCATAGACATATTTATAAGAATTTCATTGTGTTTGGCTTTATGAACAATATAATTTCCAGTTACTTAGAGCATGATTCTAGCACTTTTTCTTGTACTCTCTTTAAACAGAGATTAAATGTTTTCTGTTGTAGCTATAATACCTTAAAGATGTCCTAGAAAATGATGGATAATGTGAAAGATTTCACTTTTCACATGTTCTACTATCTCCATTTTTGCTAAAAGCAAGACTCTTCATAATTTGAAACTTACCACATTGCTTCACGGAATGTTCAATAAATATTTATAGTATGAGTGAATAAATATATACATGAATGAATAAATAAAGTGAGGCATGATTGGATAACCATAAGATTAATACAATGAATTCCATGTAAACATATGTACACATTCTACAGAATAGATATAGTTCTTCATAGATATATGGATTTATCTATATCTATCTATCATCTATCTATGCATAGTAGATTAGATAAATGAGGACCCTCCCTGAAATTCTCTAGTTCTATAGTGAGAGAACATAGACATGGACCAACAAAAAGATTAATTAATAATTGTCATATTACCATGACAAAAAAACCCCAAAGGGATTGGTTTATAGTATGTGGTAGTAACTGAAAAAGCAAGAATTTAAACAAGGTAGGGTAATTAGAGTTTGCTCTTTGGGTTAGCATTGGAAAAATTAGCTATAGATGGGATTTCCTGAGCTTTTTGAATAAAGACCTCTCTACTTACAGCGAGGAAGACAGGATGATCTGTGAGAAGGCTCAGAGGAGCATGTGTTAAGTGTACTTAAAGAAGAATGAAGATAATGGACAAAGCAGCTGAAATACAAAAGGGCAGATATAATTTCAAATTGTGTGGAGAAACAACTGACTTGAAGCATATTTAAAAGGCAACTCATTAGTCCCATGGCAGCACATACTATGTCCTCACTCAAATTTTAAACTTGGATCCTTCTTCAGTCTAATATCAAGGAAATGGTAGCTAGGAAATCCTTTTTTTTCTATTCCAATTATTTTTTTTTCTTTTTTTTCAGTCAACAAACATTTATTAAGCATCTACTATGTGCCAGGTACTGTGCTAAATTCCGGGGGTAGAAAGGAATGTAAAATAGTCCTTGCTCTCAAGGACTCACAGTGTAATGTGGCAGATAATAAATAAAACTATTTATAGAATAAATAGAAAAATCAACAGAGAGAAGGCATTTCTTCATTCTAGGGGTGGGGAAGGGTTTGCTATAGAAGGTGAGATTTTAGCTGAGACTTAACAGAAGCCTAGGAAGCCAGGAAAGCCAGGAGTCAGAGATGAGGGAGAGCATTCCAGGTGTAGGGACAGCCAGTGAAAATGCCCAGAGTCAGGAGATGGAGTATCTTGTTTAAGAACAGTAAAGTGGCCATTGTCATTAGATCAAAGAGTGCTTGGGGTGAAGGGTGCTTCTGGGGGAGCTTTGTAATTTAGGTGATTTAAGGCCTCTGCCCCTTGCAATCTAGAACCTTAGGACTTTAACATTTCAAGTAGGACTGCAGCTAAACCATCCTGCACAGATACTCTAGCAGCATGTGCTGGATGGTGGTTGGTATACAAGGCACCTTAGGGGCAACTATATGGCTCAGTGGATAGAGTCCTGGGCCTGGAATCAGGAAGACTCATTTTCCTTAGTTCAAGTGTGATGCTGGGGCAAATTATTTAAACTCGTTTGCCTCAGTTTCCTCAACTATAAAATTAGTTGGAGAAGGAAATGGCAAACAACTCCAGCATTTTGTCAAGAAAACCCCAAATGGGTAACAAAGAGTTGGACATGACTGGACAACAACCTGAAGCTGATAATGTGGTCATCCCAAGTTCATTTTTATCCTATAGTTGGGAATGCCAGCATAGAGAGCATGAAACATAATTTGATTAAAGGTTATTTTTTTTAAGTAAGTGAAGAAGTATATCGCAAAATTAAGTGTAGTGAGGGAGACCCTTTGAAAATACTTTGGAAACATGAAACAACTGTAGAAAAAGGTGTAAAGCCCATTGGTATGGCACTGGGTGAGATGAATTTACTGTCCTGCATGAGGAATAGAATGGAGTTGGTGAGAGTAAGCTTCCCAGTTGCTTTGGGAATTCCTGGCTTCCAGCTTCAAGAAGGAAGATGGAAGAAATCAGCCCCACTTTAGGTTGCTAAAGAAAAAACATCTCAGGAAAGATATGAGAGAAACTAGCAGTCTCCATCATGTCCCTATCCCAGTTAATTACAGTACAGACTTCAGGAAGTTTCCTTTTGGAGATCTGGGACACTTTCTCTTGGTTGAGCTTTTACTTCCTCCAAATTAGAGAGCTCCTTCATTCTTTATTGTTGGGTGTGTGTTCTATGTATACTTTCAATAATTTCTATTTTGCTACTGTTTAGACAAGTTTCTTTGTTATTTGCTATATGTGTTCATGAGACTGTTATTTGGTGGGAAAGGGGTCAAGCCTTGGGCCTAGTACTTGGTGTCCTTTCCCCCAATTATGACACCATGATCAGAAGTTAGATTGAACCTGTCAAGATATTAGGAGACACTCTGTTTTCCAGAGTGAAGGACCAGAAAGCGAGCTATGCCCTGAGCTTGGCATAACAACAATCATTTTGCACTCACCCTCTGGATGATCTCAGCCATAGCAAAATCCCAGACATGTTTCATATAATCATTGTACTACTTTGACCAGCACCAGCATTGTATTACTTTGACCAGGTGTTCTCTGAGCTTGGACAAGCACCTGCTATATCCATGTTCTGATCATGAAATCCTACTATGAATCTATGTCACATTGTTGCTATTATCTCTCTGCCCAGCTCACTGCCCAGCCATTGGTATAACTATTGAGATTTGGTCACACTGAAGCAGGTCCCCCCACTAGGGGAAGGGCTCCATTACATGTCCTCACTTGCAAGGTGTTTCCATCACTTTGAAATTAATTTTCTGTTTGATTCCTGACTCTCTTCTAACCTGCTCTGTTTGGTTCTGGCCACCCACTGGTTAAAAGTCAGTTCAGTCCAGCTGGCAAACCCAACCATATCAACTAGACCAGGGGTGGGGAACCTGCAGCCTCAAGGCCTCATATGGCCCTCTAGGTCCTCAAGTGTAGCCCTTTGACTGAATCCATACTTCACAGAACACATCCCCTTAATAAAATGATTTGTTCTGTAAAACTTGGACTTGATCAAAAGGCTGTACCCAAGGAGGACATGTGGCATGAAGGTCACAGGTTCCCCACCCCTGAGCTAGACTAATAATATTCAAGGGAGCAGATACATATAACTTCAGCTTGGTACCCACCCCCCTCTGAGGAAATCAGATTGGCCATTGGCCTCAACTTGCTTCCCCTCCCAGAAGAAATTAAAGTCTCTTGGAGAAAGGTAAGGTGAAAACAGGCTAGAGATGTTTATTCTACCTCCCTTCAAGCCACACAGTGACAGCCCCATGCTATAGGAAGTTGTGATGGTCCTTGCAATACGTGGGCCACATTTGAAAAACAACTGACCTGGAAAATAGATCCAGGAGAGAGAATTTAAAAATTATTGCACT